GGGAAAGGGCTGGTTATCATCGGTTCGCAACTGGTTTCGTCCGCCTGAGTGTCCCAAGTTCCTATATGGCCCTTGAAAGCAAGAGTTTGCCGTTACGAGCCATCCGGATGATAGGCCTGAGCCTGCGCTGCCTTAATTCCCCCAGATGTCCCCAAGAGGGGGTACCCTTATCACAGCGGGATTGCGCCTAGTCCAACCAGTGGTTCAAAGGAGGTGCGTGCACAGCTTGTGAGGTTAAAAGCTCGACAGCTGAAACTCCTTAGCGATTGAAGGCTCCAATATAGAAGCTTGAGCATGTAGATGAGACTAAAACGGATTTTGGCAGTCCTATAGTCCTATATTAAGATATATATGAAGGAGCCCCAAGTAAGAATGCTAGTTGAGGCCCGATATTGGCCTGCAAACCCTGAACCCGAGCCCCTAAATCCTAAGCCCGAAACTCTACACCCCAAATCCCGAAACTCATTGAACCTTAAGCCCCAAACCCCTAAACCTCAACAAACCCTGAACCCAGGAATCCTTTTTTGGGTCTGTGTAGGGTTTCGGGCTCATGTCCGAGAAGAGGTGTTCCTTCCCATCTCTCATTGGAGGTAGCTCTCAGTTTCCAGAGTCTACGGTTTGGTGACCCAGCGTTTCGGGTTAGGGCTTTAGAGTTTAGGGTTTTAAAGTTGATAACGTTGTATCGGGTGTTCATACGCTTTGAACTTCAGGTTCGCCGTTTCGTTTGTCAGCAAGCTTCGCGGAAAGGTAAGTCGTTACAGCTTGAAGCCCTCACTCTCAATCTCTAAGCACACCGAATCCCTAACCTCTTAACTTAGGAGCTGCCCCCACCCTGTAATAGTGGTATAAAAGGAATGTAATAGGGCCCTAATATAATCCTTAGAGTCACTATTACGGGGTGGGGGCAGCTTCTAAGTCTTAACCATAAACCCCCAACCCTCAACCCGAAGATCTAAATCCCTCAACCTAGACTGAACCAGTTAATCCTGACTCCCCCGCGAACCCAGAGAGCCGTTACGGTACCCCAAAGCCCTGTAGCACCCTATGACACGTAACACATTCGGACACAGAAAACGGAAATGTTATCGGCGCCAACCCACATAAGACTGAAGCGTTATACCCCAGAAGCCTTTTTGACAGACCCCTCTACCATCTTTTATAGGCCATCAAGCTTTCTCACACCCTTGGCAAACCTACTGAGGCCAGCAGGGAAGCTGTAACCCCCAAGGAGGAGGGTCTACCTTAACCTGAAAAAACCTACCTTTTTCAAGACTCATATAAGGAAACCATAGTAGGGAACCCTAAAAAGGTAGGTTCCCTAGGGTCCAGGTAGGGCTGATGGACAGGATTTCCCATAAGAAGGAATACACCATAATTCCCATAGTTTAGGGTCCTTGGGGTAGTGCAGGATTTATATCATCAACCCTAAACCCTAAACACTACAGATCCCTTAAAGGAAGCCATTAAAGGTACCCCTTAATAGATCACCAGTAGGGCTGTCGGATGTTTTAGGGTTTGCTTAGGGCTTTGGGGACCGACAAGGCGAGAGAAGGGCAAGGACTGTGCCTTTTTTGGGGTTAAGGGTTTAGGGTTTAGGGTTTAGGGGATGCAGGAATGGGCCTTTGCCGTTGCTTTAGGGTTTAGGGTCCCCAAAAAATATTACACATACTACGGTTGATGATATAAAACCTGCATGACCCATAATAAGGAATATACCATAATTGCCATAGTTTCGGGTCCTTAAGGTAATGCAGGATTTCGATCATCAACAGTAGTTTGTGTTTTGGGGGGTCCCTTATTGTAATTATGGTGTATATGGGCCCCAAAAGCCTATTCTACTTGTTAAGGCCCCAATACTAGGGCTCTTGGATCCAGGAGTCAAAAGTTGACAGTTTGGGGCCGCAGGGATCTTCAGGCTGTCTTCTTTAGATGCCCAGAGGCTCCATAGTAGTTCCTTTTGGGGGTTCATGTCTAGAATACTATTGAAGGTAGTCTCCAAAAGGGCACTACTATGGAGCCTGTGGGTAGGGCGATGGTTGCAGGTTCGGGGTCTTGCGGTTTTGGAGTTTCGGGTGCTAGCGGTTTAAGTTCTGATTCTGAACCTTCCGCCTGAAGCCCATATCTGAAATGACTTTCTTCCACTTCTGGACGAGGTTTCGCCACAGCCTAGCAGGCCACCTCCACATCTATAGATGTGCGGGTGGCCCTCGGCCATAAACCCTAAACCCCAAACCCGTCGAAGTCTGAAGTTCCAAAACCGAGGGACCGAAGCTGAAGGCTCGTGGTTTTAGAATCCCATTCGGTGAGGCGGCATTCTCCAGAGTTCCTACTGCTGTTGCCAAAACCACAGCATGTTTTGTAGCGTGTCCGTGGCTTCAAACGTTTCCTGATGGAGTCACCTACGCTATTATTCAGAGCCAGTGTGCCTGTAGGACTACAGCTTTGGGTCCATTAAGCGACTGTTGGCTCTTATTGGTGAGTTGAATGGGTTTTTGACTGCTTTATGACCGGAGCTTCTAGGCTCGGCACTGACCTGGCCTGCAAAGCCCGTGCTCTGCGAACCCCAGCATGCCCTCCTTCAAAACCATGGCGTGCTTAGCCTTCGGCGCCCTCCCTTCGGTTGCGATCCGAGCTTCCAGAGACTTCGCCACATCCCATGACGAGGACACTGAAGCCTGGAGCCACCCACATGCTTTCACCGTTTTTATGTTAAGTGATTGAAGCACCAAGCCAGCCCACAACTTGAGAATGTAGGACAAGTCTTGGCAAGCAGGACTGTTGGGATACTGATCTCGCTGCGCCGGTTGGACCCGACAACCTGGGCACGCTGACTGCCATCATGACGAAGAACTTGGGTCAGCAGTGCCGAAGGGAGGTGCAAGGACTCATAGAAGACCTTGTGAAGGAATGTACGAAGATAGAAGGCGCTTCCGAACAAGAATGCCTTCAGGACTTTTTTGGGTGGTTTGTCGGAGCGTATCTTTCCGACAGCTTCGCCTCTAAATTAGCTCTTGCGCCCCAAGAAGCCATGCTATGGGCGGGTTTTCACGATGGCGATCCTCGAGGACTCAACCAAACGACCTTGGAGGCTTTTGCTGACATGGTGGACCGGAGTATCGTCCACCCAAGCACCATTCTGGGCAAAGTGGTCCGGAACAACAACGACCTCCTTGGCTGCAGAGGCGATCCGGGTGCATCAACGCCTTGCTTCAAATGGTGGAGGATCGACAAAGGCCCGGTGGTGAACTTTTGGACCAGCTCTAGTCTTGCCTTCGTGCATGGATTGGCTGCGAAAAATCAGCCCTCGGTGGTGGCTGTCCTGAACAAAGGCCTCGATCCAACGGAGGCGTGGTCGCTCCACGACTCTGTCTTTTGGAAGTACGAACTGCCGACGCTGGCCGTGGAAGCGTCAAGCAGAATGAAGTTCGAATTTGACTTTCGTCCACAGCTTCTCCTGGTCGACATGCGGGGCACCTGCGAGCAGATGGTTGCAATGGTGAAAGCTCACTTGAGAATGGCGAAGTGGGACCCGGACGAAGTACTGCGCCTCTTAGATGAGAAGCCGATTATCTGCTTCGATTGTGCCGAAGGCCAATGTGCCCTGGATGATGCTCTAGCCGCCAGAGTCCGATCGTGTTTGGGCCAGGACTGGCTGTCATCGGTTCGAAACTGGTTGCGCCCGCCCAATTGTCCTACACCATCTTCCTAGGTTCCCAATCTTACTGTAGCTTACGGCGCCATATTGCCTTTCACAGCAAGATTCGCAGCTGATCCGGCGACGTTGAAGACGTGCGAAACATGCGCACCACGAGTCGCAGCAGCATCATCCGGGCTCAGCTTTATCGGCTTCCCACCCTAAACCCTAAACCTTAAACCCTAAACCCTAAACCCTAAACACTTCAGGTTTTAAAGACTCTCTGGGTGCAGAGGGCTCCTTAACCTTAACCCAAAGCCGCCTTCTAAATTTCCACCTCTCCTTTGAGGAGAGGGTTTAGGGTTTAGGGTTTAGGGTTTAGGGTTTAGGTCGGTGAAGCATGCAGAGTATAGGGTTAGGGTGTAGGAGGGTGTAGGTTTTAAGGCTCTGAACCCGAAGTCCTAACCCCCAAACCGTAAGCTTCGGGTTGAGGGTTCAAGGATCGCAGCCTAGAGCGTGGAGTCTTTAACAGTCTTGAGCCACATGTTGCGAGTCTACTACAGGGGCCTCAACAATTATGAATACTATTTTGGGGGTTCCTTATTATGGTCACAGTATAATATGCCCCAAAGCCTTATTCTATTTGTTAAGGCCCCTACACTATACTACCCTTTTAAATCCTTTATAGTAGCCCTTATAGAATCCGTTTAAAGGAACTCTACCCTACTTATTAAGGCCCCTGCAGCATAGATCCCGACTGCTCCAAGAGGATGCCACGTTAACTTTCTTGGCTGCAACTAATGTTCAGGGTTCAGGGGTTCAGGGGTTTTAAACTCCTAAGCCCTAAACTTCTAAACCCCAAACGCCTAAATCCCAAACCCTAAACCCTAAACCCCTTAATCCTACTGATGCGATTGATGTTTGTCCACGTCTGCGCGAGGCTTTCGCCGGGCACCCCGGCAGGCTCCTTGGGCCAGGTCATGCAGAAAGCAGGGAGCTTCGTCGGAGTCCGAGTTTCCGAAAACAGCGATCCCTAAGCCCTAAACCCCAAACCCTAAACCCTAAACCCCTGTTTGCGGAGTCTGAGCTTCCGAAAACAAGGATCCCTAAAACCTAAACCTCTGTTTTCGGAGTCTGAGCTTCCGAAAACTGGGATGTACGGTTGAGGGCCCAGCTAAAGATCAATGCAGCAGCGTTCTTTAGCGTTCTTACCGGAAGCGCGGGACGACAGTGCTGGGTCTGTTAAATGATTTGTTAATGGCTCTTATAATTGGTGAGTTGCAACTGTTTTTGACTGCTTTATGACCGGAGCTTCTAGGCTCGGCACTGACCTGGCCTGCAAAGCCCGTGCTCTGCTAACCCCAGTATGCTTTCCTTCAAAGCCATGGCGTGCGTAGCCTTCGGCGCCCTCCCTTCCGTCGCGATCCGAGCTTCCAGAGACTTCGCCACATCCAATGAGGACGGCATTGAAACCCGGAGCCACCCACATGCTTTCACGGCTTGTATATTAAGTGATGCAAGAGCAAAGCGAGCCCAAAGCTTGAATGATTCTAGAGCGAGTTTTTGCAAGCAGGACTGTTGGGGCAATTGGACCGCACCGGACACCTTGGACACCCTGATTGCCATCATGACGAAAAGCATGGAACATCAGTGCCGAAGTGAGGTGAAAGGACTACTGGAGGGCCTCTTTGCGGAATGTACGGAGACAGAGAGTTCTTCTGAAGAAGAGTGCCTCCACGACCTCTTTGGGTGGTTTATTGGGGAGAACAGGCTCGGGGGACTCGCGTCCAAATTAGCTCTGGCGCCCCAAGAGGCGATGCTGTGGGCGGGTTTCTACGATGGCGATCCTCGAGGACTCAACCACACAGCCTTGCAGCGTTTTTCCAATATGGTGGACACGAGCATCGTCCATCCCAGCACCATTCTGGGCAAAGTGGTCCAGAAGAACAACGACCTCCTTGGCTGCAGAGGCGATCCGGGTGCATCAACGCCTTGCTTTAAAGGATGGCGCATGTGGGACAAGGGTCCGGTCGTTAACTTCTGGACCGGCGCCAGCCAAGCTTTCGTGCATGGAATGGCTTCTTAGTAGCTGAGTTTATGAGCTTTAAGCTTTCTGGAATAATGAAACCCTCTTAAATTTAAGCTTTCTGGGATAATGAAACCCTCTTAAAACTGGAAGTTTCAGCTTGTTTGGGCTTATGAACTCGGCAGCTAAGGCTTTGAAGAAGCAGTCTTCGGTGGTGGCAGTCCTGAACAAAGGCCTCCATCGAATGGAAGAGTGGTCGCTCCTCGACTCTGTTTTTTGGAATTACGAGCTCCCGACGCTGGGAGATGAAATAGCCGAAATGTCGCATTCAGACTTTCGTCCGCAGCTTCTGCTTGTCGACATGCGGGGTACATGCGAGAAGCTGACTCTGTGGGTGGCCGGACGACTGGAAGATCGAGATATGATTTCAGTTGGGGTTTGGTTAAGTAGGAAGCCGATCATCTGCTTCGACTGCGCCGAAGGCCAGTGTGACCTGGATGATGCTCTAGCCGCCAGAGTCCGATCGTGCTTGGGTATTGACGACTCTTCGTCATCGTCCGTGTCACCCAGTTGTCCCCGGTTTGTGAAGACTCTCGGCATGAACGATCGTATGATCCTCGTCGAGGGTCCCCACTAGCCACGACTTTTGGGCTTCCCCCAAAGCAGAGGCCCAAAGGAGCCGTGCTCTCAGCTCGATTTGAACTCACCGTTTGTTTAGGATTTCTGGGTTTAAGACCCGAGGCCCTTTTAACACTTAATGCCCTGCACCTTACGCCCTTGGAATAAGTAGTGATAGTATCCGTTTCCATTCCTTATATATAACACATATACCATAATGGACCCCAAAACCGTGTTCTAAGTACTAAAGCAGCTGTATGGGCCTTCTACCGCACTTCAAGGTCAAGATTGCAGGAACTGGGCTTATCCAGAGCTGTGGGAGGTTGTTTGAAGGCCTTACTTACTCATATAGTACCTTATGACTATGCGTATAGAATGTGCCTGCAAGCCTGTATATACACATGCACTAATGCATACACGCATACATACTTACATGCATACCTACCTACGTACGTACATACACACCGTCACATATGTATGTCTACATACATCCGCCGGAACATATGTTCAGTATATTTTCTTATGTGTATATGTCTTACTATAGGTTGTGATATAGGTATATGCATGCGTGTATTAATATGCACATGCATCTATATCAGTATCATTAATGTGTACGTATATGTGTATGTATTATGTATACGCTTATGTATATGAATATGTAGATGCATATGTTAATTTTTCGTATATGTATAATATGTATATCCGTGTCTTTATCTGTAGCTGTATCTGTATCTGTATGTGTATGTGTATGTGTATGTGTATGTACTTGTTTAGGTATATGTATACGTATGTGTGTACATATATATATGTATATAAATGTATGTGTATGTGTATATATATATATATATATATATATATATACATATTTGTGTGTATATATACATACCCATATCTGTATATACATACATACATATACATATATATATGTATGTATGTATGTATGTATGTATGTATGTATGTATGTATGTATGTATGTATGTATGTATGTATGTATGTATACAGGTGTGGATGTGTGTATATATATATATATATGTTCGCGCCATGTATATGGCTGTGGCTGCATATATAAATACAAGACATGTTGGTTGAATCGCAAGTCAAACAAATAAGTAAACGAGGATTCGTACGCTAGACATTTACACGATGGACTTAGCAGGTCTGAGACCGTTGGCATTGGTTTTTTCTTCGCGGCATTGTAGGAGGTGCCCTAAACCCTAAACCGGAGCCCGTGTTCGGGGTTTAGGGCTTAGGGTTCAGGCTTCAGGCCGCGAAGTGCAGGATGGTGCTCGAATTTAAGGTTTAGGGTTTTAGTGGTTTATTACTGTTTAGGGTTTAGTGGTTTAGGGTTTAGGGAATAAGGGTTTAGGGGTTTAGGGTTGAGGCTGCAGGGGTTTAGGGTGACGCTCCGCAGTACTTCAACTTCTGAGAAGGCAGGGTGTAGATAGTTTACCTAGATAGGATGGTAGGACTGAAGCTCTTCAGCGGGTAGATAGATGATCGCCAAACTGTGGTTCTGATTTTTATTGGTGAGGTCGGAACGGTTGGAGACGACTTTCTAACGGCTTTATGACCGGAGCTTCTAGGCTCGGCACTGACCTGGACTGCAAAGCCCGTGCTCTGCTAACCCCACCATGCCTTCCTTCAAAACCATGTCGTGCTTTGCCTTCGGTGCTATCCCTGGTCTTGCGATCCGATCTGCCATAAACGCATTCGCATCCCATGACGAGGACATTGAACGCCGGAATGCATTCACGCTTTCTTTATTTTAGGTGACTGAAGCACACAGACGACCCACAACTTGAATGTAGACGGTAGAGCGAGCTTTGACAAGCAGGACTGCTGGAAAGCCAATCTCACTGTACCTGCTGGATTCGACAAGCTGGGCACACTGGGGGACTTCTGGATGAGTCAGTTTGGGCACACTTCACCTGACACTTTGGACACCCTGATGGCCATCATAACGAGAAGCATGGAAAAGCAGTGCCGAAGCGAGGTAGAAGGACTTCTGGAGGGACTGTTTGAGGAATGTACGAAGACAGCGGACACTCGCGAAAAAGAATGCCTCCAGGACCTCTTTGAGTGGTTTACTGGGGAGAACAGGCTCGGGGGACTCGTGTCCAAATTGGCTCTGGCGCCCCAAGAAGCGATGCTTTGGGCGGGTTTCTACGATGGCGATCCTCGAGGACTCAACCACACAGCCTTGCAGAGTTTTTCCAACATGGTGGACAGGAGCATCGTCCACCCCGGCACCATTCTGGGCAAAGTGGTCCAGAAGAACAACGACCTCCTTGGCTGCAGAGGCGATCCCGGGGCTTCCACGCCTTGCTTTAAAGGGTCGAAGACCGATAAAGGTCCGGTTGCGAACTTTTGGACCATCGCAAGCCGTGCCTTCGTGCATGGCATTGCTTCGAAGAAGCAGCCTTCCGTCGTGGCTGTCCTGAACAAAGGTTTAGATCCGACGGAAGAGTGGTCGCTCTACGACTCTGTCTTTTGGAATTATGAACTGCAGACGCTGGCAGAGGAAGTGGCGACGAGCCCAGCCAGGTATCATCCACAGCTTCTCCTGGTCGATATGCGGGGCACCTGCGAGAAGCTGGTGAGGCTGGTGGCGGATCGACTGGAAGATCAAGTTTTCTACATTGCACCACATATTCAGTATTGGTTATGTATCAGTCCAATCATCTGCTTCGATTGTGCCGAAGGCCAATGTGAACTGGACAACGCCTTGGCTGGCAGAGTTCAATCGTGTTTGGGTAAGGACGACTCTTTGTCATCCTCTATGTCACCCAGTTGTCCTCGGTTCTTGTATACTGCCGGAACGGACTTGCGCAAAATCTTCCGGGGTTCCAATCTCAGCCGCCCTACGCTGCCTTGAGAGACAAGCTTTCCTGCAAGCAGTGGCCCGTAGGGACCATGCACGAGGGCTTCTTGAACACAATCGTGAGTTTAGGATTCCTGGGTTTAACGGTTTAACTTGATGCCCTGTACCTTAAACCCTCGGAATGATTAGCGAAAGTATCTGCTTCTATTCCTTATGTATGTATGTATGTATATATATATATATGAATATATTCATATATATATATACATATACTTATAGCGCTTACACTATCATGGACCCCAAAACCCTGTTCTCAGTAGTAAGGCCCCTATATTGGCCTTCTGCTGCACGTCAAGGTCAAGATTGCAGGAACGAGGCTTATCAAGAGCTGCGGGCAACAAGCCTTCTCATGCGAAGGCCTTACTTACTCATATTGTTATATGTATAAAATGTGCGTGTGTATATATATACACATACATATTATACCCATACATACGTACATACAGACAGCAGGCAGGAAGGCAGACAGACAGGCAGACAGACAGGCATACAACCAGACACACATACATGCATACATGCATACATGCATACGTCCATACATGCATACATGCATGAACGCATACATACCTACGTACATACATACATACATACGTCTACACATCTTTATATGTATATGTTGATGTACCTGTGTGTGTACATGTATGTATGTATGTATTTATGTATGTATGTATGTATGTATGTATGTATTTATGTATGTATGTATGTACGTATGTAGGTATGTATGTATGTGTGTACGTGTATGCATACGTGCATGTGCATGTTAATGTATTTTCATGCTTGTATATGCCTTACATATATGTGTGTATATATATGTGTATATATATATATATACACCTGCATTTGTATACTTCATGTATGTAGAAATATGTATATATATACATATATACACACATATATAGATAGATATACATATAGATAACACACATAATGTGCGCATGTGCCACGTGAATGGCTGTGTCTTCAAATGTAAGCAAATAAAGGTATGTTACATGAACAGCAGAGTAACCTCTTAAATACACTAGTGTACGGATGCTTGACGTCTTCACGATGACTCAGCAGGTTTGGAACCGTTGACCTTGGATTTTGCTTCGGAGACCTTCGGTTCGAGGCATTGTAAGTCGGGGAGCCCGTTTTGAACCGGTTTTGTTGCATCTGGGATACTGCCATTCAGTGGAGGCCCATTCTACTGCAAGATAATATGGAGCTCCCAACATATTGTAGGTAATTAGCAAGGCCCCTTTTTTAGGTGTCAGTTCAGTTTCCACAAGGCTGCTGCTGGCGGCCGCTCCATACAAGCCTAGACTGGGTCGGCCCGGAGGATGCAGAGAAAAATCGGAGTTGCGCAGGGCTTTAAATCAGGGTTTAGGGTATAGGGTTTAGGGCTTTAAGGCTGTAGGGGTATAGGTTAGACGCTGCCCCCACCCTGTAACAGTGACTATAAGGATTATATTAGGGCCCTATTCTATTCCTACTATACCACTATTACAGGGTGGGGGCCCCTTCTAAGGTATAGGATTTAGGGTTTTTAGGGTTCAGCGCTTTAGGAACCCTCAATCTTGAACCTCAGCGCTTTCGGGCTTTGCGGCGCCCTAGTGATTAGTGTGCCGCCTCCATGTCTCGTACGACCTTTTCGGCATGGCTCTCATGGCACGGCTTCTTTCCTTCACGAGGGTTCAACATAGAGGTCGGGATGAGTAGTGACGGTATTCCCTTCTAGCCCTCCTAGAGAGTCATAGTCAGGGTACCCCTAAACCCTAATTGAATTATGAAGGTCGTTTAATTAGGTGCAGGGATGCGAAGCTGCGGTCCCCCCATCCCAGGGGGAAGTTTAATATGGCACCAAAAGAGTACATGAACAACAATTAGGTGGGCATATCCTCCTATCATGAAGCCCAATAAGGTAGTGATACTGCTGATGGACAGAATCCTGCATGACCCTAAGGACCCTAAACTATGGGAATTACGGTATATTCCTTATAATGGGTAATGCAGGCGTTTGTCCATCAGCAGTACCGCTGCAAAAAGCTGCTTCTTATGTTCTGGTTGGTTCCCGAGTTCGGAGGTTTAGGGTTCCCGGGATCCAGCTCTACCCTGCCACTGGCTGTGGATAAGCTAAGGGTTTAGGGTTTAGGGCTCAGGGCTTAGGGTTTAGGGTGTAGGGTTTAGGGTTTAGGGCACAAAAGGCAGTCGTTGTCAGTCTGCAGTTTCGCTCACACTGCACCATGGAATCCCATAGATTCCATGCTTCGGCCACTGTACTATTGTAGGAACCTGATTAAGGAACCCTGGGCCTATATCCCGAAAATAGTGGGGTTCGTATTGGCCCAAGGTTTCTTAATCAGGTCCCTACATCAGAGAGGTGCAATTTCTCGTCGAGGCGACGAGCAAGACGCGGTCGGCTTTGCCTGCTCTGTCCTTTTCTCTGTTTTGTCTCCTTAACTCGCCTTTGCCCAGCCCGCGACTCTCTACCCTCTCTTTCTGCTCTCTCCCTCCCGGTCTCCAAACATGCTGCGAGCTAGTGCAACATAGGGGCCTTAATAATTACCTATACTATTCTGGGGGGGTCCTTAGTATAGTTTTATAATATCATATACGCCAAGACCCTATTCTAATTATTAAGTCCCCCACATTATCTTTTGTTGTTCGACGGCTTCCGCGCTTTGCGATCCAAGCGTCAGAGACCTGCAGACACGCACATGCCAGCCGGAAGAGGCCAGGCCACATGCCCTGCAGCCACTCGAGAAGCATCTTCATTTTCTGTAGTGAAAGGACCCTAGTTAGCTCGAAACCCTAAGCTTCTATCACTTGGGTACGGCCCCCACTCAGTAATAGTTGAAGAATATTCAGAATATAGATATAGTAGGACCTTAATAGTAGTCCAATTATAGACTAGTACAGTGTGGGGGCAGTACCTAATCTATCACCGTGCCCGACGTGACTTGTCAGCAAGATCCGACGGCTAGCACAAGACTTCCTGAGCTGTCGAACCCTACATCGCGAGACAACTGAAACAGATGCCTCAAGAACTGCTAGCGTCTATCCCGAATCTCCTTCCAAACTTTCAAGCTTTACAAGCCCAAAAATCTTGTCAGGGAGTTTAAACCCCTACACCCTTAACCCTTAAACCCTAAACCCTACTCCCTAAAGGAGTTTAGGAGTCTCCGAGATGAGATGAGGGCCCTCCTTACGGCTTTTGCGCTGCTGCTCTGGGTCGGCCACGTGCGGACCCTCAGAACTGCTATGATTTAAGGTTTAGGGTTATATACCAGATTATACTACGATACATGTCATAGACTGAAATATGAAGCCTTAAACCCTGAACTGAAGCGAGCTGCTGGTCTGTTATTGCCCATGAAGGCATGCCCCTGACCTACGGATAGGTCTATCGATATCGGATGTCGGCAGTCCAAGCTACTTCCCTTCGGAAGAGGCTTAAATGCTCACAAAACGACCCTAATGACAAATCCTGTAGTACTAGCCTGTGCTTGTAGGATTCATCGCGTCCCAAAATCCGTGGAGAAAGTTGTCTACCGACAACATTGGGACGCCTCGAGGATGTGTCTGTTTGCAGAGTTCAGATTTCTGTTCACTAAGGGGTCTGATTAATTACCTCTACTTTTTTGGGGGTTCCTCAGTATAAGCAGCATAGTATTATGGGCCCCAAATTCCTACTCTAGTTGGTAAGGTCCCCATATTGCGGGCTCGCGGGGTGGCTGAAGGAGAAACCAGATGTAGCTTTCAGTGTCCGAAGGTCCATATAGATATGACAGGGGGGGGTTTAGGGTTTAGGGTTTAAGGGGGTGGGGTTAGGGTTTAAGGGGTTCGGGATGGCGGAACTGCCAGAAAGTTGCCCCCAAGGTTTTGAAAGGATGAGTCACCGTCCCACAGGAGAAAAAGATTCCCCACCCGTAAAGGGAACGTTGCAAGGCAGAACTTTGCGGCAGAACCCTAAACCCTAAACCCGACCAAGCTCATAAACTGGGTCGGCGGGTGGGGCGTAGCGCGCACCTAGGCAAAATGCAGAATGCAAGTGTGATCGGCGCATCGACACGCCTTTTTCAAGAAACTGATATTGCTACGGTCTAACTCGTCGTGATTCAACGAATCGTGGTTTATGAGCGCCTTGTGTTTAAGAGTAGTAGTTCAAAAGGATCCGTGCGCTTTGGTTGATGAGTTGCCACCCCACATGTTCAGCTATTCCGGAAGTTGATATGGCAGCCTCGGGAATAAGATGTAATAGGTGTTGCATGGTATTCTGCTAGGGCTCCAGTTTGTTGGAGTATGATTTAGCCCAAGCCCCTCTTCCCGATCATCTCAGGGATATGATTCTCCAAGGCGTTAAGTGTTTTCTCATGTGAGTGCACCTGTCACTCCGCTCCGTTTTGCCGGAACTCTGCTCGCACCACAAAGCCTTGTATCTACGTCCTTCTATGAGGTTCCCATGCTTGAGGATCAACCCTCAGGCTCAGGGTTTGCTCAACTTCCTAGACACTGAGACTGCATCTCCTTGTAGAATCTTCGGGCTTCTGTTCCACAGGCTTCTGTAACTCCTAAACCCTAAGCCCTAAACCCCTGAACCCCTGAACCCCCCAACCCCTAAACCCTAAACCCCTAAACCCCTAAACCCTAAACCCCTGAACCCCTAAACCCCTAACCCCCTAAACCCTAAACCCCCAACCGTTCTGTTCCACAGGCTTCTGTAACTCATCGACAGCCTTCGCGAAAGGAAGCCTTGGAGGTGCTAAGGTTTATTTAAGGGATCAAAAAGGGTTCTATAAAGGGTTTAAGGTTTAGGATTCCTTTAATAAGGACCCCTAGGTATATACCCCTACTATCGCTATTATATACCCATTATATAGCCCATTATAGGGTAGGGGTCCCCATTAAGGGTCCCTCCTTTTCCCTTTGATAAGGTCCAGGCACAGCTGCGCGTCGTGGCGCCGAAGGCGCTGGCGCATGAGCGGGCGACCCAGAGCGTACTAAAGGGGCCTAGACAATTACCAATATTGTGGCTTCCTTATTGTTGTTATAGTAGAATGGACCTCAAAACCCTATTCGAATTATTAAGGCCCCTATATCAACGAAGAGTGCCACTCAAAGCCCCCCCACGCGAGCTTCAACCTCGGCGCTCAATCCTGCCCTAGATGGGAGCTTCCGAAAATATGGGACCCTAAATGGGGACCCCTACCCTATAATGGGGCTATATGATGGGTATATAATAGCTATTTTAAGGGTACATACCTAGGGGTCCTTACTAAGGGTCCCTCCTGTTACCCTTGGAGAAAATATGGAACCCTAATATAGTAATCACCCGAAGCAGTAGGATCCTGTTCCTGATTGTCTTAGGGGTACTTAGAAATATTTTTAAAGTTTTGGTTGTATAAGATAATCCCTAAGAAACAGCTAAAATGATAATTTTTGCTAGGGTTCTAAGTTCAGTATAGTTGTAAGGACCCCCCAAAATAAGGTACCCCTACTTTTCGGAACCTCGTAGATAGACCCTAAACTGAGGAGTCTACGGGCCGTCAATTGTCATGTCGGCACTTTGTATTAAGTACTGGCCAGGGCAGGCCCCAAATTCAGAGTAACATAAGGGCGTGTTAGGGTTTAGGGTTTAGGGTTTAGGGTTTAGGGGGGGTTTAGGGGTTTTAATCTGGCGCTCAAGCTTGGAATAACGTAAGCGCGTATTAGGGCTTAGGGTTCAGAATATGGTTTTGGTGTACCTTACCCTTTTGATTATTGCAAAGGGCCACGTTTCTCAGACGGCTTACTACAAAGTCGGAATGATCCGCAATTCTATTTGGTTAGAGTGTTTATTGTACCTGTACTATAACATACCCCAAAACCGTACTGACATTATCAAGGCATCCTATGTCGCTTCCCTGAGGTTCAAAAAGAACCACGGCGTGGTCTACGGTGCCGGCCACAGTTTCGTGCACTGGGTGCCCTAAATCCTAAACCCTAAACCCGTTGCTTTGGCTTCCGTTTCGACTTTTGGCTGCTATTGCTTTAGGTTCAGTCTAGAGTCTAGGGCTTAGTGTTTAGGGCTTAGGGATGTTTAGGGTTTAGGGTGGTTTAGGCACTTTTGGGATTTCCAGTCATGCGACAGCCTTTGTGCGGGACTTGCGTTCGTAGAAGCCAGCCGTTGATCGTAAAGTCTGAGGCCTACGCCCTAATCCTCAAACCATACGGTTGATGGTATAAATCCTGCATGACCCATAATAAGGAATATGCCATAATTCCCATAGTTTCGGGTCCTTAAGGTAATGCAGGATTTATATCATCAACAGTATGTCCTGGACCTGATACAGGGCTTTGTGTAATTTGTCACTCTATCCGCTTGGAGCACCCTGGAAAGGCCCAAGCATCGAACCTCAAAGCCCTTAAACTGTAGACATCTGTAGACCATATATACCTTCTATCCCACAGTAAACGCCAAACCTACCTCTAATCCCTACAGCGAAGTCCTAATCTCTGTCACTGCCTCATCATCAAGTCGATATTCTTTAGATTTTGTCGACACAGTCGTCACTCAAGAAATCAGGACCCTAGCCCCATTGAAGGGGTTAAGGGTTTACGGTTTAGGAGAATGATCCAACACTCTGAAGGTCAACCCTGAACGTTCAACGTTTCGGCTCTGAGCGGGGAAACATCGGCAAGCTAAACACACAGGTGAGCCTCAAGCCGAAACCCTGAACCGTGTGGGAAAAGAGCCCTTCAGTAGAGAGACATAGAAGTCGGACCATGGGCAATTAACATGCCCCGCAGGCGCTATAGAGCCTTAATGTTTAGGGTCAAGGGCCCTAAACCCTGAACCCCTAAACCCCAAGACCACAACCCTACGCCCCAAGCTCTACAGTAGAAGCGCCAAAGTTGGAAACCCAGTACCTCAATCCTTAAGAGTAATGTACATTGAATCCCAGCACTATTTGGCCTTAATCCGGTTTCCAACTTTTGGGGTTTACTACTATAACCCTATAGATCCCTTTAAGGAACCCTATAGATTCCTTTGAGGAGCCCTGTAGATTCTTGCAATCCGGTTTCTCAACTTTTTGGGGTTTACTGTCATCCCGCAGCTCTCCTACTGTTGATAATATAAATCCTGCACTACCTTAAGGATCCTAGACTATGGGAATTATAGTAAACCCCAGAAAGTTGGAAACCGGATTAATGCCAAATAGCGCTGGGATTCCCTTTACATTACTTTTGAAGATTGAGGCTATGGGGTTTCCAACTTTTGGGCTGCTACTGTATGGTATATTCCTCATTATGGGTAATGCAGGATTTATATCATCAACCGTATGAAACCCCCTACACCCAAAACCCGACTAACCTAATATACCATGGTTCCCACAGTTTAGGGTCCTTAAGGCAGTGCAGGATTTATATCATCAGCCTAGATCCTAAATCCTAAAACCCTACAGATCCCTTAAAGGAAACCCTTATAGGTACCCCTTATGGATCCCTTTAAAGGAACCCTAGGGATTTATATCATCAACAGTAGTTCAGCGGAGAAAGACCGAGGCACCACGGCGACCTTCGGCGCGCCCTACTACGGCGAGACGGCGGGGATACCTGGGCTTCAGGATTTAGGGCCTTTAAGGATTTAGGGTTCAGGGTTTAAGGGTTTCGGGTTTAGGGTTTAAGGGTTTCGGGTTTAGGGTTTAGGCCGTGGGTTTAGGATTTAGGGTTCAGGGTTCAGCAGCTCCGGGTCGAGCAGTTTTATAGTAGAGTTGTATTTACGGTCTTGATATAACACCCACCCACCCATAGAATCCCATAACATTAAGCAATATAAAGTTCTTTCATCATCATTCAGAGAGTTCTACCTACAACTTAGCTTGTCAAACTAGGCCCTAAACCTTAAAGCCCAAACCCTAGGCCCTAAACCCCAAAGCCCAAACCCTAGAGCCCAAACCCTAGGCCCTAAACCCTAAAGCCCAAACCCTAGGCCCTAAACCCTAGAGCCCAAACCCTAGAGCCCAAACCCTAGGCCCTAAACCCTAAAGCCAAACCCTAGGCCCTAAACCCTAAAGCCCAAACCCTAGGCCCTAAACCCTAAAGCCCAAACCCTAGGCCCTAAACCCTAAAGCCCAAACCCTAGAGCCCAAACCCTAGGCCCTAAACCCTAAAGCCCAAACCCTAGGCCCTAAACCCTAGAGCCCAAACCCTAGAGCCCAAACCCTAGGCCCTAAACCTTAAAGCCAGACCCTAGGCCCTAAACCCTAAAGCCCAAACCCTAGGCCCTAGTTTTTCTCAGTTTACTGAAAAAACCGCGTACGGATGCGGCAACCAGATTCTCAAAAAAAACGCAACGAAAAAGTCGAGCAACCCAGTAGGTTGCCCAATGCGTTCGCGGATATTTGCATTTTTTTTGATTTTTCGGGTCATTTGCGCAACCCGTTCGCGGTTTTTTATCAGTTTTCTTTCGAAAACCAGCGAAGGCATTAAAGTTTATATACATAAGATTATAGGGTTTAGGATTTGAGGGTTTAAGGTTTAGGGGTTCCGGGTTTAGGGTTTCAGGGTTTAGGGTGTGGGTTTAGGGTTTAGGGATTTTGGGTTGAGGGTGTTTTCTGTGGAGGACTTGGGCGGATTCACGATCTTTATAAAGTGTTCTGGAGCTGGCTCGGGCGATGAAGGTTCAGGAGTTCGGGTGCACATGTTGTGGCTGAGTTTCGGTTAGACACTAGATGTTTACATGGGGTTGCGAAGCAAGAACGAACACTTCCACTAGGAACTGTTGCAGACATCCTGCTGCATCTACTCAGAAATCAGTTCCAATGGTAAAAGGAGGGACCCTTAAAAAGGACCCCTAGGTATATACGCTTAATATAGCTGTTATATACCCATTATATAGCCCATTACAGGGTAGGGGTGCCCATTAAGGGTCCCTCCTTTTCCTCTTTGATCAGTGGTATTGCGCCTGGGTATGCTTGGCCGGTGTGGAACGGTTGATGATATAAATCCTGCATTACCCATAATAAGGAATATACCATAATTCCCATAGATTAGGGTTCTCATGGTAGTGCAGGATTTATATCATCAACCCTAAACCCAAAAACCCTACAGATCCCTTACAGGAACCCCTTAAAGGTACCCCCTTATGGATCCCTTTAAAGGAACGCTAGGGATTTATATTATCAATAGAATCACCCTAAACCCTAAGCCGCCTCAAACCTAAACCCGCCAGTCGCTGCCTCGCGCGGTCACGTGCAAAGGCGAGGGAGCGGCGCAATCCCAAAAGCACTGGGCCTTCATCATTCGAACAGATTATCGGGCTGTTGAGTTACATATATGTGGGCTATAAAGTTTGAGATTATTCAGACTGAAATTGGCACCTTCGAAACCAAAGTTTCAGCACCCAAGCCACAAAGCCACAACCGACATAGAAGAGCCGCAGATGCCTACCCAACCCCGGGACCCTAAGCCCTGAAAGAGGTCTAGAAGCCTAAAGTCTGCCTGATAACTCCAAGGCCCTCTTCGGGACTCTTGTTTAGGAAGTTACTTTCTTCAGCTATCATAAGAAGGAAGCCACATTAGTTGCTATAGATCCCTGTGATGGTGACTTAAGCAAGAGCCCAGAGTCTTTCCCAGGTCCTAGGGCAACTCTTGTACAGCGAGTCCAAAGGAAAGGCCCGTCCCTCTCAGCAGTTCGGGGCGTACGGTTTTGGTGTTTCGGGGTTAAAGGTTAGAGGGTTCACAGTCGGAGGTTTGGGGTTTCGGGTTTAGCATGCGCTGTGGTTGTAAGCTTTCAGTTCGAGGCTACTGGGTTTGAGTGCTGTGAGCTTTTTGAGCTTTGTTTTTGGGCTCAGGGCTTCAAATGCGCATGTTTACAGTAGCCTTCTCAAGTTACGGTTCGTACCACGAGCCTCTCCGTACAGCAGTCGCTTCGTAAACATTCCCACAGCCTTGAATCCTGATATCTTCAACCCCAAAGCCTGCTTTTCAAAATTGCTTCCTCCACCCCGTGCACCACTTAAAGCCGCATATGGCACGGGAAGGAGTGGCACAGAGCTATCTAAACCCTAAGCCTTGAGCCCCGCAACACCTAGTCTGCCTCTGCAGGCACACTGTGAGCATGGCGACTACTCAATGCCAAGCTCGCCCACGCGGCCACCTCTACCAGCCGAATCGGACGGTTCCCCCCGACAGGAGCGGTCGGTGGGTTGGCTTCGAGCCAGAGAAGGTTTTGCGGGACGAGCGCTTTAGAGAACCATTGATATTGGAGGAGCTAAGGAGCCAGGGATGATGATAATCCCTATTAATAAGGCGCTAAAGAGTCCAAAACCACTGGCTAGTTAGAGTCTGGTGAAAATGGAAAAGGGTTCAGGGCTTCAGGGCTTCACGGACCCGATGGGATCCAGGGTCTTGCATGCACATGAGTCAATGTACGCAGCGGCCAAGCAAGAACCGTAAAGGACACCGCGAAGGTGCTGCTCGTGAGACGCGGTTTGTGCACCTTCGTCACAAAGGCGGGAGAAGGGCTGTTGCAGGTCAGTGCAACCGCGAAGCTTGACTCATGCTCTACGATCCCTAGTCTCAGCGAACTTCAACAAAATATGTCTATATGTCTATATATATATATATGTACATATACATATATATATATATATATATATATGTCATGTGATGTAACGTGATGTAATGTGCTGTGATGTGATGTGATGCACTGCAATGCAATGCAACGGAATGGAATGGAATGCAACGGAATGGCATGCAATGGAATGAAACGGAACGGGATGGAATGCAATGGAATGGAATTGACTGTATGATATCATGCATCCCGAGAGCGCTGTTCTCTGGTTATTCAGCAGCCCAACAAATCCATTACTGTATTGGTTGGTCTCACAGCAGCCTTATGCAAGCCCTGAGCCCTGAACCCTGCTCTCTACACCCTCTACCCTGAACCTTCCACCCTAAATCCTAAACCTTCGTGCAAGACCCTAAACCTTAAATCCTAAACCCAAGCCCTGAACCTTAAACCCTAAACCCTCAACCTACACCCTAAGCCCTGAACCTTAACCCTGTCAGAGCGTCCGAAACACGTGGATTTTGCCAGGTCCGCATCGCCCAGGAGAAGGGTGCTCAAGCAGTGGTCGTGGTCCGGCCCCCCGTAGGCTTTGGGGCATTTAGGGTTTAGGGCTTTAGGTTTAGAGCAACATCGGGAGGGGCGCTGTAGGCTTTTCATGTTATAGGGTCGTGCGGGGTTCGTCTCGAAGTGCTTGAAAAACGAAAATCATGGACGGCAACCGCGCGTTGGACAGACGATGGATGCGCTACTGTCGCCCGTTCGCAGCGTGTCCGTCGTCCGTCCGCCGCGCAGCCGCCGCCAAGCCGTCATAAGGCCGTCATAAGGCCAGTATAAGGCCGAAATAAGCCGTATTTCGGCCTTAATTATGCCGGCTGGACAGCGGGCACGCCACGGACAGACGACGCTCGCACGGTGGATGCGCGACAGATGCGCGACCATGTCGTCGTCGCTTCGTAGCTGCGTCGTCGTCGTCGTCGTCGTCGTCGTCGTCGTCCTGTCGTCGTCGCATCGTCGTCCTGCGTCGTCGTCGCGTCCACCCGTCGCCGTGGCCTTGTTCCTTTGTCGTCAGCCGCCAAAGGCAATGGCGGCAGCTTTTTGCCTACTGACTAACACATACCTATAGAACTTAGATAAAGTATAGGGTTCAGGATAAGCCTGAACTGAACACCGAGTTTGTAGCAGAGTCTGCTAAAAACTCATGCGACTATACTGCCTACGCTCTCCGAAACATATATCAGACCTGGAAAACTCAGTTAAGAGTGGTTAAGAGTTTAAGGGTTAAGGGTTTAGGGTGTTGGGGCCGTTAGGGGTAAGTGGCTTCAGGGTTTAGGCTTGAGGGATAATATCTCGTATGATCGAGCGCGTGGATGCTGCGAGCAAGTCGGGCGAATGTGCAGGCCTGAACTGTTGGTAGCAGTATCCCCAGCCTTTCACTGTGCTATACCCCCAAACCGTCTTCTTCTTCTCAATCACGGGGGCCCGGCCATCCGAAAAGCTCAGACACCGAAGCTCCAACCAACTGAAGCCTCTGAACTGTGCGAAGCCCCTCCGAAATAACCCTAAACCCTAAACCCTAAACCCTGAAGCCCTGAGCCCGAACTCCAGGTCGATAGGGAGACTTCCAGTAACACGCCGGAAGACATCCAAAAAGTCGTCCGCCCGGCTTTGGTTTAGTGTTTGTTGCTCGGGCGTAGGGATTTAGTAGCTTTGGGAGTTGTCTTTAGGGTTTGTGACGTCATGGTCCCAGAACGGCTGCAGGACTTGGGGCAGGGTGCGTGTCTTGCTTACCATGATGGCCCTCGCTCAACCTCTAGAAGCCCATAAACCCTAGGCCCTAGACCCTACACCCCACACCCTAGACCTTAGACGGACCCCAGACGCCAGACCCTACACCCCCCAGCCTACTTGGAGGGTCGGGGGACTTAGTAAGTAGGTTATAAGTAGACTTATAAGTGCCTTAAAAGGGACCCTAATTGGGGTTATGGTACTTATAAGTCCCTAGAATAACCAGTTACTAAGTCCCCCGACCCCCCAGCCTAGGCCTTAGACGGACCCTAGACGCCAGACTCTAGACCCCAAACCCTAAACCCTAAACTCTAAACCCTAAACCCTAAACCCTAAAACCCTAAACCCTAAGCCCCTAAACCTATTAGGCTAGACCCTGAGGCTTCCAGCCCAAGGCTCGTCCTCCCATTCAAAGGGGAAAAGGAGGGACCCTTAATGGGGACCCCTACCCTATCATGGGCTAGATAATACTAGCTACATTAAGAGTTTTCACCTAGGGGTCCTTATGAAGGGTCCCTCCTTTTACCCTTGGACCCATGGCAGGTCATGGCCGACGATGGGTGGGGCGATTCGGTGCAGATACCATCCATTCTGGTGAGCAAGTTCCAGACTCAGAGCTTCTGTTGGGGGGGGGGCGGGTGTAGCTTTCGGGCTTGCGCGCTGCAGGACCCAGAACCCTTAAGCCGGTAAACCCCAAAAACCCAGGAGACTTAAATCCTACAGTAGCACCGTGAACCCGCCAGACCCTGAACACAAACATAAAGACAACCCGAACCCCTGAGGCTGTAGACCTGGGTGAGGGCCCCTAAGCCGCTCAGCCTTCTCTGCTCTGCAGCCCTTTACACCCCAAAAAGATGCCCAACCTCGATAGAAACGCCTGGATTCGGTTTACGCCCAAAGGCCCAATAACAGTGACATAACAGGTACAGTCAAGGTATTGGGTTTAGAGTTTTTAGTTTCAGGGAGCTGGGCTTAGGATTTATGCAGATAAGGGGATTCGGCTTGTGCACCTTCAGTGGCCACCAAAACTAAACGGCCCAGCTGTGTTACACATGAACACATAAATTTGTGGAGATCGGACTAGGGCTTGTGAGGTTTCGAGTCGCGGGATTTGTTTCGGTTTCGGGTCAACGGATAGGCGTTTCGGGTGTGGGATTCGGATTTGCAAGTGTTTATTTCGCGGTAATTCGGATTCATGGTTTGGGGTTCAGGAGTCTGGTTTCGTGCAGGACGCTCAGGATGGCTGTGACACCAGAAACCCATCTGCATACCTCCAACAGCTCATGAACCGTAAACCTCGGCAATTAACCCTAAACCATTAGACCAATGTTCGTGATGCTAATAACAAGAGCCATAGCAGCGATAGTGATAGTGCTACTAAGCAACTAAACGTAGGAGTATTCGGACAGATATCAACAGTAGTACCAACCACGTGACAAATATCAAGCTAAGCACCAAAACCGCGTGCATAATCAATGGGCATAAGAAGGATAGCAGCCGCAATCATAATAGCAGCCGTAATACTAAGACAAATAGCAGTAGTAGTAGTAGTAGTAGTAGTAGTAGTAGTAGTAGTAGTAGAAGTAGAAGTAGAAGTAGAAGTAGAAGTAGAAGTAGAAGTAGAAGTAGAAGTAGAAGTAGAAGTAGTAGTAGTAGTAGTAGTAGTAGTAGTAGTAGTAGTAGTAGTAGTAGTAGTAGTAGTAGTAGTAGTAGTAGTAGTACTTCTTCTTCTACTTCTACTTCTACTTTTACTTCTACCTCATCTTCTACTTCTACTTCTATTACTACTACTACTGCTACTACTACTACTACTACTACCAAAGTAATCGTGATAGTCAGAGTCATAGTACAACTTTTTACCTGCCGAAACCCTAAACCCTAAATCCTCCGGTACGTTTGTGAGGAGCGAGGGGCAGCTCCTCATCGATGCCGCGAAGCACGCCACCGTCATGGCTGCTGCCTTAATTTAATTTGGGTTAGTAGGGGCAAGAGCCGGTGCTGTGCAATCTTCGCTCATATTCAGGTTCCCTCTATAACGTACCTTACCTTGGGTTAGTAGGGAATGGAGGAATGGGGTACGACTATAACTACTATTACTACCATTCTTCCATTCCCTACTATCCAAAGGTAAGTTACGGTGATGTCCGCCGTTTTTAGGACCCCCAGATAGTACCACGTCCGTATGAAAGGCCTAAACAGGGATCCCCATGTAGAGAACTACCCAAGTGCCTGAAGGGTCAGCTTCAGGGTTTAAGGCTCTAGGGTTCCAGGTTTCATGTCCAGGCGGCATTCTGCGTCTTGGGCAAGCTAAGCTTGTGGGGCAAAGCCGCTTTTCGTATGCTTTCCCGACATGGGTGGTTGTTAAAATTAGGGTGGGTTTCTTTTTGGGTCCTTATTATAATACGGCACCTAATATTAAGGGTATGCAAAAAAGACCCTAATTTTGACAAGCACGCACATGTTTTCACTGCCCCAAGCACCTCTGAAGCCCCACAAGAAGCTGGAAACCCTTAGCCCGACCCCCAAGTTGTAGGGTTCCTTTGAAGGTGTCTATAGGGGTTACTATAAGGGATCTATAAGGGTTACTATGAGGTATCTATAAGGGTACTCTAAGGGATCTATAAGAGTAATATAGGCGTAAACCTTGAAAGACCTCAATGGGTTGCCGCACGGGACTGTCCCACGATATCCACCTCGATATGACCTCTAAACCGATTATTACGTCTTCCACGTCCTCGACTTAACATTAATGCATTATTATTGACAGAGGTCGAGCTGGACTGGAACATCCCAAGGGGCCAGGCAGGGGGACCCGCAAGCATTTGAGCGGCCTTGACGTGTATATTATTATTATCGTTATACTATGTATATATTTATTTACGGTTATGTATTAATAGTATTCTTGATTATTTATATAGTTTTAAAGTTGGGGGTTCAGGGTTGAGGGTTTATGGTTGAAAGGTTACGGTTTCGTGGCCATCCCGCGAGCTTGTGCAGGTTGTGAACATGGACTTCTGGATGAGTTCCGGTGACAGGCTGCCGGCGAGATTCTTCGGAATGAGATTACATGATGGCAAGCAAGTCACCTGAACCCTAAACTGTCAAGCAAAGTCCGAAACCGGAAACCTGAATTATGCCAGACAGACTCTAAAGCCGAACGTAGGTTGGCCACAAAGTTCCTGGAAAAGTTCAAGCCTTATGTGCGGTCCTTACAGCTTTGTGGTTCGGAGATTTGCGCGGTGTTAGCAGAAGGCCCGTGGTTGCGTATGAACCCAGAGAGCCCAATACCCCTCAGGGAAAATACCTTAAATCATAATATTAGGGCCTCTATAATGTAAGGTATATTCCTTAATTAAGGGCTATTGGGCTATCTGGGAACAAATGGGCGCGTACGTACATGTGCAGGCAAATTCGGCTTCCAGATTTAGGACTGAATGAATGAATGAATGAAGGAAGGAAGGAAGGAAGGAAGGAAGGAATGAAAGAATGAAAGAATGAAAGAATTAATGAATGAATGAATGAATGAATGAATGAATGAATGAATATATGTCTAGACACATGCACATGACAAAGAACATGTGTATACCTATATAAGACGTTCGCACATCTCACGCATACCTTGGTACACTTTGCCTAAGAACTTGTTGCCGCCATTGCCGCCCTTGCAGCATGTGTGTGTATGTAAGTGTGTTTATTTGAGTGTTTATTACATGTGCATATATATATATATACAAACATATATAGATGCTAGCCATCCCCCCAAGGACCAACCTTTCAAAATAAAAGGAATTCCCTAAATTTCCTACATAGAGGTGCACACATATGCGCAAAAAACGTCGCAGACAGAGTTTAGGGTGTCATCGGGTGCGGCTCTTCGACACGGGCTGCTCTCTCTCTCTCTCTCTCTCTCTCTTTCTCTCGGTTCATTGTACTACACCTTAGACTCCAGACCCAAAGCTGTGGTCGACTAAACCGTCAACAACAGAGCCGAACATCTGAACCTCGCAGATCTGTGTCCCAAGGCTGTTGCCTTGTCGCCGGCCTGGCAAGATTCAGTGGGTAGAGGGACGAAGGTTCCGTAGAAATCCTGCAAACATGCAGACTTTGCATAGTCAGGACATGCATAAATCTACGGATGATGGTGACTAGCTTCTGCTCGGCATGGGGCTGCACAGGCAACGAAGCAGCTTCTCCCAGACATTGGCGAGTTTCAGTTTGACTTACAACCTGACACAATACACCTGCTAATCCCCAAACGTCCGCTAACATAAAGCCCTCGAGCCCTTAGTTTAAGCATTAAAGCCCTGAGTCCTAAAGCATCCTAACCCTAAGCCCCGAAAAGGCCGTAAAGCCTATAACCATGACCCTATTCCCCGAACCCCAAGGCCTCCATACCCCTAGAGCCTCACACCCTCCCCGGCAGTCCTCGGCCAGGGAGCATTTGCAGTTTGCACCGCGCTATGACATCTTCAAGCCCGATGAAGGCGTGCCTCGTGGGTTTAGGGTTTAGTGCTTAGGGTTTAGGGTTTAGGGCTTAGGGTTTAGGGCTTAGGGTTTAGGGTTTAGGGCTTATGGTTTCGGGTTGAGGGTTCTGCAAGCCCGATGAAGGCGTGCCTCGTGGGTTTAGGGTTTAGTGCTTAGGGTTTAGGGCTTAGGGTTTAGGGTTTAGGGCTTAGGGTTTAGGGCTTAGGGCTTATGGTTTCGGGTTGAGGGTTCTGCAAGCCCGATGAAGGCGTGCCTCGTGGGTTTAGGGTTTAGTGCTTAGGGTTTAGGGCTTAGGGTTTAGGGTTTAGGGCTTAGGGTTTAGGGCTTAGGGCTTATGGTTTCGGGTTGAGGGTTCTGCAAGCCCGATGAAGGCGTGCCTCGTGGACAAAAAAACCCAGGTTAAAGTAGGGGCCTGAATAGTTAGAGTAGGGTTCCTTTCAAGGGATACTATAAGGATGCTATAAGGAATTTAGGGGTATAGGGGCCTGATTATTTACCGATGTTGTTTTACGGGTTCCTTACCATATTTGTAACGTAATGGGTGCAAAAACCCTATTCTAATTATTAAGTCCCTATCTTAGGTGCCTTACGAAATGCAACAGTTGTTTTCTCATGCGTTATGTAGCCTAGCGGCTCTGTGAGGGTGTACTAAGTACAGTATTACCTATGTCATGCTGCCTGGGGTATTTGGGGTTATTTGCCAAAGCACGTGTACGGACGGCTTTCGAAACCTTGCGCAAAAATCATGTGGCGCTGTTGCAATTGCTGTATACTTTAGTCACTTTAGTCCTTATCGAAACCTTGGTAGTAACCCTTATCAAAACCTCTATCAAAACCTTCTGGCAATCCTTGTAGACATCCTTCTGACAAGCTTAATGAATAGTAAACCTTACAGCGGCAGCCTTACGAACGCTCAGCGCTAAGCCCTAAACCCAGACCCAAGCCTTAACCCCGGAGGAACCAAGCCCTGATGGGGATTTCTGGATGAACAATTCCTAACCCCAAAAAGCCTAAACCCAGCCAGACCCCTACAGTAGAAGCCAGAAAGTTGGAATATCATTATCGTAACCCCTTTAAGGTAAACTATAGGGGATCCTACCATTAATCCATATTCCAACTTTCTGGCTTTTACCTTAAGCTCTAGTTCTCCAGCTCATAACCCTAACCCCTAAACCCTAAACCCTTTCCTTCGGCCAGGCATGTTGGGCGAAAGCAACTCAGAGCTCTGCGTCTCGGCAGACTCAGAGAGCTTCTGTGCTCCGGATCCAGATGGGGGCGGCCCCGTCACAGGAGGCGACTGCGCTTTTGGGGATTTGGGGTTTAAGGTAAAAGCCAGAAAGTTGGAATATGGATTAATGGTAGGATCCCCCTATAGTTTACCTTAAAGGGGGTTACGATAATGATATTCCAACTTTCTGGCTTCTACTGTAGGGCTTTTTGGCCCAAAACCATTTGTCCCTGAAGCCCCGCACTCTATGATCCCCCATTCCCGCAACCCCAGACCCCATCCCCCGAAATCCAACAAGCCTAGACCCATTAGGGTTTAGGGTTTAGGGTTTAGGGTTTAGACAAGCCTAGACCCACTTCGGATCGAAACCCTCCGCCAGAAGACGTCGTGAACGAAGACGTCCGGCAGCTTTGCCTTTGGAACGTCACAGCGAGGAGTGGTGCAATCTATGGTTTTAGCAGGATCCCTTTTACTGGGTTCTATAAGGGTTACTATGAGGGCTCTATAAGATGTAAGCCTTAATGATTAGAATACCGTCGTGGGATTTATTTTAGTAGGTTGATATCACGGAACCCTGAGGAATGACAGTGGCAATTATTCAGACCCGTTTCTTCTAGGGGTCTGAATATTTCAGACTTGTTGTTTCCTTATAGTCCTTTGGTGAAATTGGGGTTATGTTGCGGTTATTTGGGATGGACAAGTGCCCATATGTCTCCTTCAGGATTCGTGCGTGTAGATTTGCGGTTTCACTATGGAGTGGCTAGTGATGAGACCATGTATCTTACGACATACACTACTGACTCTAGACTGTGCTGCACACCCCGAACCTGCTCGTATTCTTAAGGGCCCCTGTGTTTGGAGACAGCGACGAGAAAGTCATAAGCGAGCAGAGATCACTCAATGAGGAGCCCTTATACATGAACCCCCGTGGTTCATGAGAGTGCGGGACTGGCTCTTAAAGGAACGGAGGGTTGTTGACCTAGGTTGGATTTTGGGACATTTTTATTTTCCTTAATTGGGTTTATAAGGGACCCTATATATAAATATTTTTCAGGGTGTTTAAAGGCCAACCCAGTGACAGACCGTACGTGCGCAGGTGAGTTGGCCAACGAGTTGGCTCATGCAGGAACTAACCTCCACGGATCGCATTATCCGCACAGGGAATTTGCAGCCTTCCTTAATCCCGAAGGACCTAGGCCCCAAACCATGCCTCAGAAAATCAACCAAGAAACAAAAAAACGAAAACCCGTGAGTATGTGCTGCAAAAGCCGAACGTGCATGTTGCAGGAGGGGCGGCAATACCGGAGCCCTTTTCTCCGAGCCCTATTGGTTCTGGCCTGAGTGGGCTGTCAATGCAGGTATGCTATGTCTGCACCTATTCACCTACCTGTTTGTATGCGTTTTCACTTATGCATATGTAATATTTTCATATTTTTCGTCACGGAGATGTGAAGGATGTATGTGTGTTTGGGTGCCTGAGTGCGTTCGCGTGCGCCTGCTGTTTTTTGTGTGTCGTGTTTTGGGATGTTGCTTGTGTGTAAGTGTAGTACTTCTTGCTCTCCTTGCGGTGGTAAGAGATGAGAAGGATGGTCATTATCATACTGATGCTGCTGCTGATGATGAAGATGATGGTGATGGTGATATCTGACCGTGATAGTGATGGTGCTGGTCATGATGGTGATGGTGATGACGATCATCAACTTCATCATTAATGTCTTCAACATCAACATCAGCATCATCTGCTCCGATGTGGAGTGAAGGCTCCACTTGAAGCAAGAGACAGCAGCAAGAGAAGCGTGGAGACAAGCTATGGGTTGCATGGCAGTGGGATGGGAAAGGAATGGCAAGGAGACGGAACCGATGAGTGAGAGGTAAGGGACATCGCATGCGTGGGTAATACACGGACCTTTAGGGTAGAATCTTTCATAGGGATCCTTGGGGGGGAGGGTAGGAGGTGGAGGGGGGTAGGGGACTATACTGGGAGTTAGGATTAGGGGGACCCTTGGGGATAAAGACACTCTCAATAAGGTCCCCATTAAGAGAGCCAGAAGTAGGGTTCAGAAGGGGTACCCTTTAAGGGGTCTCTCAAATAATACTACCTATATACTTCCTTCAAACCTCCTCAGGCGGTACGTTGTCAGCTTCAACCGCCGTTGCTCCGTGAGGGCCCGGACTGGGATCGGAGTGCCGGGCTCGTGAGCCTTTTTTTCTGCTTTTCCCAAGATCTCAGCAACTTTGGATTTCGAGGGCTCAGGGTGTGTAGTAAGTGGCAGAAAGCCTACTATAGGGGCCTAAATAATCGCCAATACAATTTTTTGGGGGTTCCTGATTACAATTATAGTATCATGGGCGCCAAAATCCTATTCCAATTGTTAAGGCCCCTGCATAAATCTCTGGCAGGCTCTTCATGGACTCTCGACTGACTGGGCTACGATGAAGGAAACTCTGGTACTGGCCAACCCTAAACCCTAAACTTCATGTCAAGACCTCGATTTTCATGCAAAATGCTTAGGGTTTAGGGTTTAATGCACTCTAGCCGATCCGATCATCAATCCCATAATGTCCTTGACCATGTCGCCTGTCTTTCTGTAATCCTTCTGTGTTGACACCCCAGAGGGAACTCTACCCTGGGAGCCTGTTACCCTTCTGATCCTATATCGCTCTTCCTGCAAGTCTCCGGGCATGTTGCGATGGTTACTGCCTGCTACTGCTTTTCGTCTTACCATTCATGTTGGCAGCATTCTCGTGTTTGGTATTCTCTTCTTCCGTGTACACCAACATCAAGAAAAAAGTCAAAACCAAGAACCAGCATCATTCGCAGCAAAAACCGTCACGACCTTAAACCAGTGCATCATCACCACCGATGCCGATGGCTCCACCACGAGCACCACCACTACCGCCGCCGCACCAGCGCCAACGCCAGCACCACCACCTCCACCGGCTACTGTGGTCCGACTGCAACAACATCTACTACTACTACTACTACTACTACTACTACTACTACTACTACTACTACTACTACTACTACTACTACTACTACTACTACTACTACTACTACTACTACTACTTTACTACTACTACTACTACTACTACTACTACTACTACTACTACTACTACTACTACTACTACTACTACTACTACTACTACGACGACTACCACTACTACCACTACTACCACTACTACCACTACGACCACTACCACCACTACCACTACCACTACCACTACCACTACCACAACCACTACCACTACCACTACCACTACCACTACCACTACCACTACCACTACCACTACCACTACCACTGCCACTGCCACTGCCACTGCCACTGCCACTGCTACTACTACGACTACTACCACTAGGTACCTCTGTTTGTTTTAACCAGCGGCAGGCGCAGGATGCTGACCACCGTTTCGGGGAAGTGCCCGTTCCTGAATCCATCGGCGCAGTGGTGTGTGTGTGTGTGTGTGTGTGTTTAGGGTTTAGGGTTTAGGGTTCAGGGTTCAGGGTTTGGGGTTTAAGGTTCAGGGTTTAGGGTTTAGGGTTTTGGGTTCAGGGTTTAGGGTTCATGAGTCACATGAGCTGTAGCTTGGTTGACGTGGGGCTTTTTTGGAAGACCACATAGTCCCGAAAGCGTTTCGTCAGCTTGTTTTGCAGTCATGGCCCACTACGCCCTGACGTCAGGGCAGGCACCTGAAAGAAGAACGGAAAGGGAGCATAATGTCCCTTCTCGGAGCCACATGTACTTGCCAACTCTTCGCCTCAACTGTTCGACTACTCGGCACAGGGTTTAGGGTTTAGGGTTTGGAACCCTAAACCCTAAACAATCCCTGCTACAGAACAGCAACCCAGGTGCTCGTTGTCGGTTATGCGAGAGGTTGGAATCGATGCCCAGTCAGTGCGCTTCTCACGGGGTTTAGGGTTCAGGGTTTAGGGTTTGGGGTTCATAATAACTGGGAGTTTCCGTTTCCGAGAAGTATGGATCCATCACAGGGTCCTTGTAACGCGGACCCTAGTCTTCGTGATCTGCATACGGAGAGATTTCCCTGTCTTGGGAAACTCCCGCATCACTCATACCTGTCAAGAGTGTTGCCGTGAGTCCTCAGCCATGTATGCATGATGGTTCGACCTAGCAGTCGAAAAGAGTCTTGAACCTGTTGATCTGCAGTCTGCAGTATCCCTTATCCTCAAATCCTTAATCCTAAACTCCTAAACCCACTCTGAAACGCTAAACCCCCTATCTGCACCCCCTCCCAAACCCCAAATCCCTCGAGCCCCAAAGGCCAATCCTGAATGACTCACAGAAATATCCCGTGAGCCTTGCAATTTTCGGGTTTAAACTCGGAGGGCCTCCGAGTGTAAGAGTTAATTACTGCCCTACAAGTAGGGCTGGGATTCGAAGGTGCAGGGTGGAGGCCGTCACGGCAGGATGGTTTCTTAGGGCTTCAGGGCTTTAGGGTTCGAGGTATTGAGCCTCCCCCGCTTACTGTTTAGGGTTTAGGGTTTAGGGTCTATTTCATCGTGCCGCTTGATTTGCTGTGGCTCAGCACCCTCTGCCACAAAACGCACACCAGCTTACCAGCACAACTTGAAGATGTCTTAGGCATCCCCTATCACCCCTGTTACGTCAAGTATAGCAGTGACTCCTCCCTGCACGTTTCTTGGTTCTTACTTCCCAAGCAGCTTCACAGCGCAACCCGCCCCAAGCTGCAGAAGCAGAAGCAAAGTAGCATTCCAGCCATTCCTGTGCAATGGCCCGGCCCTCGGCACGGTTTGGGGCACACTCCTCTCTCTCCCAATTCCCAATGCTGCTTTGAATCTTGAAATGGCATATCAAGCCCTAAATCTTTGAAGCTTGAGATGGCATCCAGAAGCTAACAGTTCCGAAAGATCCTTCACCGTGAGCAGTCGATCCTGGACCCGAAATCCAATAAACCCTAAACCCTAAACCCCTAAACCCCTAATCCCATACTCCCCTAAACCCCTAAACCCCTGAACCCCTAAACCCTAAACCCCTAAACCCCTGAACCCCTAAACCCTAAACCCCTAAACCCCTGAACCCCTAAACCCTAAACCCTCAACCCCCGGACCTAGACCTCATCCCCCAAGTTTGCAGCTCTGAAAGGCCGAAGCTACTCGTAAGCTATCTCCAGGAAGCCCTCCTGCACCCTAAAACCCTGGAGGTCGTCTTCTGTCGGGTTGAGGGGTTCAGGCTTTACTATAGTCTCCTTAGATTTCTTTTAAATTTTTGTTCATATGAAGCCCAAGAGAATAATGAACATCGTATTTCAATTATGGTTCTAGGGGGAATTCAGTTTAAAAGCAAGTAGAACAGCTGAGACCAAAAGCCGCACAACCCAAACCCTCACTCAACTTGAATCCTACGGTTGATGATATAGATGCTGCATTATCCATAGTAAGGAATATACCATAATTCGCATAGTTTAGGGTCCTGAAGGTAGTGCAGGATTTATATCATGAACAGTAGCACCCAAACCCAAAACTCCAAATAGAGCTCCGGCCCTCAAGCCCTAATATAGCGGCCTTAATAATTAGAATAGGCTTCCTTTCAAGGGCTCAATTAAGGGATACAATAAGCATACTACAAGAGATTTCGGGGTATAGGGGCTTAAATATTTACCAAGACTATTTTGGGGGGCTCCTTGTTATTATAATTATAGCAGAGTGGGCCCCAAAACCCTAAAAATAACTGTTGCAGGCCCCTACATTCCTTACAGATCCCGTATAGTACAACTTAAAGGCCCCTTTTAAAGGAACCCTATTCTAACTATTAAGGGCCCTAACATTAAACCCCGATCCCCTGAAAGTGCAGACCGAAAAAGAACCAACGGACCCAGAGACTCCAATATCCCCTAAGTAAGAAATATACCTTAAGCTATAATAGGATCCTTAATATGATTTAAGGTATATTCCTTAATTAAGGAATATACCTTTGAGTTATAGTAGGATCCTTAATATGATTGAAGGTCTATTCCTTAGTCAAGGGATATTGGAATCCCCTAAACCCTAAACCCTCTAGATCCCTTATAGACCCCTTAAAAGGAACCCTAACCCTAGGTATTCATTAATTAAGGGATATACCTTAAATCATATCAGGGATCCTACTATAATTGAAGGCATATTCCCTACTTCCCTTATAGAACCCTTTTAGATCCCTTTAAGGAGCCCTAACCCTAAACCCTAAACCCTAAACCCTTGAAGGTATATTCCTTAGTTACGGGAGTCTCTGGGGAGCGGCCTGGAGGCTTTTGGGAGCCTCAAGACCGAAGCCGGGCTCAAGGCAAGATGCGCAGCTTGAGGGTTTAGACCCTGAAAGCCCTAAACCCGAAGGGTTTAGGGTTTAAGGGGTTTTGGGGTTTTAGTGGTTGAGGGTTTTCGGGTTTAGGGTTTTAGGTTTTGGGGTTTGGGGTTTCAGGGTTTAGGATTTAGGGTTTAGGGTTTTAGGGGTTGTGGTTTGGGGGTTTGGGGTTTGGGGTTTTGGGGTTAAGGGTTCGGGGTTTGGGGTTTACAAAGCTAAGTATACACTAGTACTAGTACAAATACCAGTACTACTACCGCTGCCATTACGACTACGCACTTCCACTTGCACTAGCAGTACCGCCACCACTACGACGACAACGACGACGAGTACGAGTACTTCTAGTAGCACTAGGATTACCAATACTCCCAGTACTCCTAGTACTGCTGGTATCTGTAGTAGCAGTAGAAGTAGCAGTAGCAGTAGCAGTCGCTGTCGGAGTCGTAGTCGTAGTCGTAGTCGTAGTAGTACGTAGGAAGTAGTAAGTTTATGTAGCAGCAGTAGTAGTAGTAGTAGTAGCAGTAGTAGTAGTAGTAGTAGTAGTAGTAGTAGTAGTAGTAGTAGTAGTAGTAGTAGTACGTAGTAAGTAGTAAGTCTATGTAGCAGCAGCAGCAGCAGCAGCAGCAGCAGCAGCAGCAGCAGCAGCAGCAGCAGCAGCAGCAGCAGCAGCAGCAGCAGGAGTAGTAGTAGTAGTAGTAGTAGTAGTAGTAGTAGTAGTAGTAGTAGTAGTAGTAGTAGTAGTAGTAGTAGTAGTAGTAGTAGTAGTAGTACGTAGCAAGTAGTAAGTTTATGTAGCAGCAGGAGTAGTAGTTGTAGTAGTAGTCGTCGTCGTCGTCGTAGCGGTAGTGGTAGTGGTAGTGGTAGTGCTAGTGCTAGTGCTAGTGGTAGTGGTAGTGGTAGTGGTAGTGGTAGTAGTAGTAGTAGTAGTAGTAGTAGTAGTAGTAGTAGTAGTAGCAGTAGCAGTAGTAGCAATAGTAATTCTACCTCTACTGCTGCTAGTCGCCTTGTCGTTGCCATTGCGAGTTCAGCATGCCAGAGCAATCAATCAATGCTTTACTCAGCTGCATGCTTGTTTGCAGGAGCTCAACGATCATCTGGCTCATGTGAGCTACATAGGCGGTGGCGTCTGCTGCTTAGTTGGCAGGGCCAAGTTTTCAAAACTTGTTTTCTCGTGACCACTTGCATTTTCAACTTTGTCTCGGCGGTCATGCTGGTTTGGTCTCCAAGTCTCATGTTCGAGAGTTCACATTCACTTCCGGATGCCCTAAACTTCCTAAACCCCAAACCCTTAAACCCTAAACTCTAAACCCTAAAACTCTAAAAACCCTGAACCTCTGGCTCAGGTTTCCGCAACCGCCGAGGACTTTGACTGGTTGGCGAAGGCCCTTTTCGCGCTATGCAAAGCTCGGTGTAAACAGGGGCACGGTAGGGGTTAGGATGGTTTAGGATTGAGGGAATTCGCGTACAATCCATGATATTCTGAATTCTTTTTTTTCACTGAATCTTCGCGATGTCAAGTGAATCCAAACTCTGCAGTCCACCACTGCAGTCACGCGAAAGCACAGAGGGAGCGAGAGAGAGAGAGAGAGAGACAGGCTTTGTGACGGGAAGAAGCAGATGCCGACCTAGCCGAAGTTTGAAATGATAAAGGGCTTGCGGTGTGTAGAAGAACATCAGGCATCATCTCAGCACGCCAACTCCCCACCCTCGGTGTCCTGAACCTACTAAAACCTTGACCTTGACTTGGAAAACCTCAACATCCCTAAGCGTCAAAACTGAACACTCGAGTTGAAACCATCCGGAGCCCCTCTTCTAGGCTTTGTTCCAAGATCTAAATCAGCAAAACTGAATCCTGAAACCCTGTAGCCAACATACCTGAATCGTAGCAAGGCGCCGCACAACATTGATGGCGAGCAGTACCCACATGCCAGACGCACCGAGCTCAGTTGTGAGGGTTTTCACATCCAGTTGTTAAACGTGTTGAGGTTTGAGGCTGTGTAAGTTATACAGGCTTTTGCAGTACCTCAATGGCTTTCCATTGGGGTTTCGATGTGGTTTTCAGGGTTGCTGTGTCTTCCGGGATCTGACGAGGGGAGCCTGGATGTGTAACAGCCCTCGAGCCACTTTTCGTGCATGTTTGCATGTTGCTCTGCGCCTCCTGATTAAAGTACAGTGTAAAACCTCCCACAAAAACTCATCGACTAATTTTCATAACACCTGGTCTCAAGCCCTAGAATCCTTAGACAGCTTAACAACCAGACCCCAATCTATTACAGGAACTTATTGTCAAAACCCTATTCTATTTATTGGGGCCCCTATATTAAACCTCCATAATAATCCTTATAGTAACCCTTATGGGACCCTTTTTAAGAACCCTTTAAAGGAACCCTATTTTTAATCATTAAGGCCCCTATATTAGGTCTTGAGGCCCCTGCATCACAGACGCCTGCGGCTCCCCAGCCGGAGGATCCCCCGGAGCCAAACCAAAGCCGGAAAGTTCGAGGGATCTTTACACACAAAATGCGTTTGGCTTTCAGAGTTTAGCGGTTTAGGGTTTTAGGGGTTTAGGGTTTAGGGGT